AGTACTCAGTACAAGTACGAGTACCGATACTTTTGAGAACTAGACTAGAGAAAAATTAAAAGTTAGGCGGCAGCTGTCATTTGTAAGGAGCACACGGAGCTCCTGAGATTTGTACATCTCCGTTTTAATGTATGATTTTGTTTTTATAAATATAAATAAAGGGATGCACAGATACCAGTTTTGCAAGTACGAGTACTGGTACTTGCCGAGTACTTACAAGTGCTGATACATTTTTGTTTATTGTCATGTGACTGTTTTTCTAAAACAATACAGACTAATGATTTCAGGACAGTGGTGGAGCACCAGAGCCAGGTCCCAGCTGCAACCCTGGTAGTTCTCATGAAAATGCCAAGTATCGGCACTGGTACCCGAAAAGTATCTGTGCATCCCTACACAAAAGGTAAGGGAGGCTCTGAAAAAGAAAAAAAAAGGAGCACATTGGTTCACCCTCCATCTGCGCTTTTCTTTCTTTTAAAGATCCCCTCTTATCTGAAGTTCCTCTTTAGGAAATAAGCAGCAATAATCAGGGAGTAAACCACAGACAGGAGTGAAGGGGTTAATACGTGCACCTGGTAACCCGGCTCACTCCTCCATCCCCTTTAATAAACCCCATTAAATACTTTTGTCTCCCTAAAAGGGCTCATAATTACAGCCGCCATTAACGTCTTTCTGAGAGCTCAGTACATCTGCCGGTTTTAATCCGCTGTAGACCGACTCATCTGACTACAGACCTTTCCGAAGAGAAATGTTGGGGCTGCCATTGCTGACCTGATGATGCTGATCACCTGGCTGCCATAGTAATGCTCTGGTTTCTGTGTTTTTTGAGTACCTGACCTGAAACAAGTTTCTAGATAAGGAAAGCCAGAGACCTCTATTGGCATACTTGAACGGCAGTATTCTTTTACATTAACCTTTCCAGTAGGGCTACCCTCACACGTCAAGGGATAACTGCTCGTTTTGGTCTAGGGATGAAAATAAAAAAAATATGTTTCCGTTTGGCTGCTGGACATGTCCCAGCAGCCTCTTCTCCACTGGGCTCCAGCCGTCTAAGGACCCATGACGTCACTTGAATCCACAATAAAAAGCTGACAACACCTCAAAGTGTCATATCATATCACATATCAAAGTGTCCCTGGCAGCACATCCATCATTTTAACACCAATTCTCCCATAAGATTGTGTGTGCATTGAATGTATTTATAAGGGATGTTATTTACCTGTATAAGCCTCCCTTGTGAAGACATCTAAAAGTCTGCAGACCGCTGCTGGATGCAGTCATCTTGGATGTGATGTCAGAAGCCCCAGCAAACACTAAGTGACACTCTATAGCAAGGGTAGCCAAACTTCGGCCCTCCAGCTGTGGTGCAACTACAAATCCCATAAGGTTTTGCAAGAGTGACAGCCACGGGCATGACTTCAAGAGGCAGATGCATGATGGGATTTGTACTTTCACTACAGGTGGAGGGCCGAAGTTTGGCCCTAGCATGTGTGGAGGGGCTGATAATTGTGCTGTTGATCTCAGCTGGGAAGTCAGGGGAGGGACAAGAGGGAGGAGGAAATATTATGAAGTCATTCCTCATCGAGTTTGAGGAAGTGGCGAGATATCCACCCTGATATGTCAGTTAGTAGACTAGGGATGTGTGATGAGACTGAGGAGGTGAGTTGAGGAGTAGAGAGATAGATCTGAGTGTTGTTGGCATAGAGATGGTATTTCAAGCTATTGGAGGCCATCAGTTGACCCAGGGAGGGTGTGTAGATGAAGTATAGAAGGGGTCCGAGGACAGGGACGTAGGGGACTCTTACTGAGACAGGGGGAGAAGAGGAGGAAGTTGTAGGTGACACTGAAGGTGCGCTGAGATAGATCTGACTGTTGTTGGCATAGAGATGGTATTGGAAGCTATTGGAGGCTATCAGTAGACCCAGGGAGGGTGTGTACATAAGAGTATAGAAGGGGTCCGAGGACAGGGACCTGGGGGACGCTTACTGAGGGAGGGAGAGAAGAGGAGGAGGTAGAGTTGTAGGTGACACTGAAGGTAAGCTAAGATAGATAGGAGGAGAACCAGGAAAGAGTAAAGTCTTCAAGGCCAAGGGAGTGGAGTTTTTTGTGGAGGAGTCAGATAACATTCGTTTTCGGCCTCATTGTACATTTGTTCAGTGTTAATCAGTTCTGCAGGATGAATGGCTCTGCAAATTTCTTATAAATACATCCTTATGAGATCCCAGACATGGATTACTCAGGTTGCAGTCTCTACAGGTTCACATTAAAGGAGAACTATGAGGTAAGTGCTTTTCACTCACCTCATAGTTCTAGCCGACCTGTGACAATGAGACTGTCACAGGTCGGCTCAGTAGATCGGGAGGTGAGCGAACACATACCGGCGTTCGCTCACTTCTCGATCCTGTCACAGCTCTCTGCCGTGACAGGGGAGGGACAGGATTCCCCCCTCCCCGCTCCGATCCTCCAGCGCTGACTGGCGGAACGGACGGGGGAGGGGGCGGGTACAGCTGGTTCTGCCTCTAGATTGACAGCTGGGCGGATCCAGACATAAGTTGTCGGGATCCGTTTCAGCTGCGGCGTCTCAGTATACCGCGAGCTAAAGCTTGCGGTATACTGAGCTTAGGGTGACGGGAGGACGCTAGTTTGTGTCCTCCTGTTACCCTAAGAAGAACTATGGGGAAAATCCCTAACCCCATAGTTCTCCTTTAAGCTAGATATTGGAGGATGACCAGTCATACTAACATGATCTGCCTAAAGACTTAAAAGTAGGCCGATACAAAGTCAAAATTCAGCTACTTACACAGCTTGTATTAAAAAAAGACAATTACTAATGTATTAATGAATACAGAGCTGTATAAAATTGTGGCTTTTATAGCTGCCCCGGGTTCAGCTTTAAAGGTTTGGCTGGAAGACATAAAGGAGTAGTTAGTCCTGTGTTAGCTGCAAGTGGCACTTATGGCTACGGTGGGTGTGTGAGTGGGCAATCACCAAACAGTCTGACTGGTGATTATGCAAAACTGCATTCAAATTGTATGCTCACTCTCCCTTTTCATATCCATAGTTGTAAATGTCTTGGATAAGACTTCCCTGCCATAAAGCTGGCCATACACTAAAGCATGGATGTGATAGATGGCTGATTGACCACAGTCTCAATTTGGCCTTCAATTTTTTGTCATAGTGGTGCCACCAAGGACAACCACGGCTTGAATTGGAGCAATGTATGGCCAGCTAAAGTCCCATCTCTGTTTATGTATCTGGGAGTGTTGTGTGTTCATGTCCACCATTGTGTGCTTTAGCTCCTCCTAGCATTCTCCAAAATATAAAATTCAAGCTCCAAGAAGAGTAGGATTTCCCCCTCATAATGACCACAGCAGGTTTGCACCAGTGCTAATTTCCTCAACTAAAATGTGTGGTTTCTTTTTCGTAATTTGCATGTTTTTTAGTGATGAAAACTAAACGAAAACTGGGTAATCGAGGAGTTAATGCAGGGATGTTCAAACTGCGGCCCTCCAGCTGTGGTGGAACTACAAATCCCATGAGGCATTGCAAGATTCTCACAGCCACGACTCCCGGAGAGAGAGATGCTTCATGGGATTTGTAGTTTCACCACAGCTGGAGGGCCGGAGTTTGGACATCCCTGAGTTAATGGAACGAAAACAAACCAAGTTGTAGGAGTGACTATTGCATTTGGACTTTCGGTTCCCTGAGCTCTTCCTCTTCCTGTAGTAGTGAGACGTGCACAACTGAATACCCTCCTGATCTACCCAGCGGGACACCAGCTAGCAAACACTTGCTGCACAGACTGTACAGACATGTCAACATCAGGGAGAAAGAGAAGAGCAGATGTACGGATGCATTTTACATTTCATGCTAATGAGAACAAGACCATTTGTAAACCATGTGGAGCGACAATCGTAAGTCATAACAGGTTAACAGAGGTTTACTTCAGAAATATATAATGACTTTGGAAATTCTAGAGACTTGCTTAAATAATGCATTACACTTTAAATACATCCATTAGATTTAGACCAGTAAAATCTACCGGAGATTTAGACCACTAAAATTAGACCTAAACTAAAACTATTTCAGATGGCTAAAATATGACTCAAAACTAAAAATAGCATTTTAGTCAAAAGGCTAAAACTAAGAATAAATTGAAATTTGCCTTCAAAATTAACACTGGTTTGCACACCCAGGGACTAGAGATCTCACTAACAGAGTCCTCAGAATATATACAGTATGAAGCAGCCAGGTGGTTAAACATTCCACCATCTATCAAATAGTGAAATATTGTTTTTTTTCATGGGGCTGGTCCTTTAACAGAAAAAACATTCCTTCTTTTATGTTACAGTGCCACCATTGCTGCCCTCCCTCTCATGTTAGATTACCGGGCTGTCATAGTGATGCTCTGGCTGTAGTGCTTTGTGAGTCGCTAACTTAGAACAAGTATGCAGCAAATGAAGTCAGAATGTCAGAACTCCTGATTGGCATACTTGTCCCAGGTCAATGTCTTAGAAAACTACAAACCATCAACAAGTCAGGAGATCAGCAATGGAAACGTCCATACATCTCAAGATCAGTTCCCTTGAACTAGGAAAGATCACCAAAACGTTATATTTCCAGCAACTTCACTGTTTTTAATGAACGTATTTAAATACGAAGGTAACAAAAATAGATTTAAAAAATAATTACAAGAGGCTAGCACTGTGTCAACACATACAATCAGCACATACGTCTGTAAAGTCCATTAGGAGGAGAGTGTATAAAATCCTGGGAGCATGCAGCACAAAGGGACATGGCGCCCTCTGGTGGCTGATGGGCGCAACCTCTTATATTGTTTGTAAGCACGTTCACATTTTACAGCCGGAAACAAATACCAGGTCCTTGAATTTGGCACTATGGAAGGTAACACAAGATAGTTCCTCTGATAACTTTGCGAGTGACCCAAGGCCTGATAATTTATTGTGGATAGTGAACCACGTACATTGCTGTTGAGGCGAAAGTGTCCAGTCCGTGTTCAAATATCTTGGCTGAATCCCTTTACATTGCACTCCAGGCTTGTTCCTGGACATGCTGAGCTGGAACGTATCCAGTATTCTGTACATACAACGCCGTTCAGTAGTCCTGTCCTATAGAATAGGCGTAGAAGGAGGGCTGGGTTTGATCACCCATTCCCCATTGGGGTTAGCATTGTATAAGTCCAGCATGTAGGTGTCGTGATCCAAGCAGTGTTCACCTGTAAGCAGACATCAGAAAGACACTTGTAAAGACTTTTCACCTTCTGATCAATATTAATCATGCAGGGTGAAGAATGCATACTTACAGATGTTCCCTCCTACTTCATACAGCTCCACATTTGGAAACTCAAAGGAACCATTACTGGAAGACAAAATGTGATTGGTTAAGCAGAGCAGTAATGAGCTACACATCTATAACACAATTACAGGATATTAAAACATAGGATAGGTCAATGGTAATCCTTTTTGTTAGAATGGAAGGATCACAATACTTTTATAAAACCTTGAAAAACACAAAACTCCCCTCGTAGTGGGGCTGCCCCCGCACTGCAAGGGTTAAATGCTCGTTTAGGTCTAGGGTATCTGGAAAAAGGATCTTTACTTACCTGTTTCCCCGCTCCCTTCAGGCTACAAGACTATCAACCTGTAGACTCTTCCCCACTATGTTCCAGTGGTCAGAAGGTCAATGGCCGCCATCACGTTCAATGCAGGGCCCATAGCCCTGCACTTTATATGAGGACTCCAAAGCACAGTCCACCATCTGTACTGTCGGAGAGACTAGACAGCACCGACTTCCAGGGGAGCTGGGATCAGGCAACTGCTCCCCCTCCCCCCCTCCCATACCCTAAAGAAGCATTTAAGCCATGCAGTGTGGGAGAAGCCCCACTGCAAGGGGAGATTTGTGGTTTGACCAGGGATAGGCTTTAACCATAACAGCCAAGTTATGGTTAAAGCCAGCAAGCAGTCCAGCAAAAGCGACGGACACCAGGCGTTGGGAGAAAATGCAACACTGCCAGGGGTGTTTACAATTTTATATGATTAAACTTTATTCGGAAAAAGAAACTGCAACTTGAGCACCCCTGACCATATTTTAGGTTCTTCCAAATCCTGCCACTTTCAAAGCAACTTTTCCTTTTATCTCCTCTTTATGCTGTAATGATGTATATGAACTGTGATATATACCATTTAATCAAGCTGACAGTTCGGATCATCTGCCAGCTACGCTGGGCAAAGTGCTCCTGAAACTTCTTCAAGACATCCGCGGCACGCGTGCCTTCATCCAGCTGAACGGCCAGTGAGTCTTTTACAAATACTGAAGCTTGAATCTTCACTTGCTTACATGGCTGGAGAGGGAATGAAAAGATGTAATTAAGAGGTGTATGTAGACCGGAAATGCATTGCTTTAGTGAAACGCTTCTCAAAATGTGTAGCACAAGTTTTCACTCTGAGTGTTAAATGGCAGCAGTTGGAATCTAGAAACAGGGCTAAAGGAACTCATAAGAGAAGAGTAGATATTCATGGTTAAATCAACAGGCTTCGTCTAATTCCTGGTAGCGGTCACTAGAATACGCAGAACGTGCTTACTCTGCTAGGCACTGCAGGGAGCATGACATGTTTACCTCTATGGACTCTAGTATCTCTTTTTAAAGTAGATCTAAAGCCAAGACCTTTTTTCTGGAGAGAATAATGAAATAGTTAAAAACATTTCGGGAAGGCAGATACTGATTACAAGTAGTAAGAACTGAGACGAACTGAGTCGAGACTTATGAAAGCAGTAGTGACAGCTCATATATGTCAGTGTTCATACAAGAGAGAGAGAAGGAGAGAGAGAGGAGAGAGAGAGAGAGAGAGAAGGAGAGAAGGAGAGAGAGAAGGAGAGAAGGAGAGAGAGAGAGAGAAGGAGAGAGAGAGAAGGAGAGAGAGAGAGAGAAGGAGAGAGAGAGAGAGAAGGAGAGAGAGAGAAGGAGAGAGAGAGAGAGAAGGAGAGAGAGAAGGAGAGAGAGACAGAGAGAGAAGGAGAGAGAGAGAGAGAGATGAGAGGGGGGAGAGAGAGAGAGGGGGGAGGGAGAGAGGGGAGAGAGAGAGGGGAGAGGGGAGAGAGAGAGAAGGGAGAGGGAGCGAGATCAAGAGATTCTTCAACAGAGCTCCCCTTAATTTAGTCCTGTGGGGTCCCCTATATGTCTGTGAATGTCATGCCACTCATCAAGGACATCCCGGGTCAGTGGCTAAGAAAGTATTGAAGCCAAAGGGTCAGCAAAATGGTAAACAACTAGCAATTTTAGAAGGCAATGGAGCTGTAGGTGGCCCAGTCAGCACCACTCGGGTCAACAAACTTAAATCACAGGAGCCAAGTAGAAAATTGTTTGCTGGTCAGTGACTTCATCCAATTAGACCAGCAACTGTGGCAGTCTGAATACAATACCTGGCAGTGGAGATTCCTCCATCAATGGATGGAGGAATCTATTTCATTTCTGTCGTTCAGCTTACGGGTTTATTTAAAAAAAACGCTTTATACGATTCATTAAACATGCCTTCCCTTTTTCTGTGTGCTGGACATACCTCTGTCTGACTTTTCTCATGCTTTTCCTTGTCGGTGTGGATTTTTCGAAGGAAGTTGAGCAGCCGGCTATCATTGAACCTCTTACTGCTGTTTTCATTCAGTTTACGGACCTGGGACAGCAAGAAGGTTGGGACCTGGAAGTAACCAGAGAAATATACAGTATAGAAACACACAGAGAACAATTACAAACTAATATCCACTCTATATCATTTCTGTAAAATATTAGTAAACTTTTGGATTCACGCCATCTAGAAAGTTGGCATTTTGTCATGGAGAACTACAGATTAAGGCCTCTTTCCCATGGGCTGATCAGGCGGGGATCTATGCATGGTTCCCCCTTGATCGGAGCGGTACAGATAGGATGTCATGCTGTGACATCCGTGTCCTTCCAGTTTTTCCCCTCCATCTTGCGATGGAGATAAAAACTGAACTGACCGGACCCCATGCCGTTCTATGGGGAATCGGATGTAAAACGGACATGTGTCTGACAATCAGATCTGTTGAAACAGAACACTGTTCTGTTTTTCTGGACCTGGCCGGAGCTAGGGGTAACTGGTTGTAAATTAGCGCCCGCCCGTTTAGTTCCAGCTGCCCAGATGGACCCGATCGGACCGCCCATGTAAAAGGGGCCTAACTGTGTTGATGGAATATAGGGATGCACCAATACCCGTTTTTCGGTATAGAGTACAAGTACCGATATTTATATTTTGGTACTAGTCGATACAGAACTCCGATACTTGCGCTAGCATGGAGCTGGCTTCCCGGGCAATCAGGAAGCCAGGCCGCATGTCATTACCCGCCTTCTTGATTGCCTGGCAAGCCGGCTAAATGCTTCTCAGCCAAAAAGCATCAAGCTGGCTGTTTGGCCGGCTCCATGTTGATTGGCTGGGAAGCCGGCTTCCCAGTCAATCAGCATCGAGCCGGTTTCCCGGCCAATCAGGAAGCGGGTAATTTTCAATGCAATCATTAAAATGAAGCACTGTCATTGTTTAACAGGAAGCCGGGTCATGCCGTCTCCATGCTGTTTGGCCGGGATCAATGCCGATTGGCCGGAAAGCCGGCTTCCCAGTCAATCAGCATGGAGCCGGCTTTCCGGCCAATCAGGAAGCCGGGAGGCAGGTCATTTTCAATGCAATCATTAAAATTAAGCATGGTCATTGTTTAACATAAGAACCTGTTTCTATAATGTAACTTCTTTAGTTGTGACACCTCATCTTTATTATTCTATCAGTCTTATAGTTGGTTTTCATGTCAGAAAGCTGCAGCTTTGCCCGAAGTACTCACCGTCCATAGAAGATCCTGATAATGCACCATAGCCATGACCAAACCAGCCACTCCCTCTGCTAATTGCTTCTCACCACCTTCTGGCCCTTTGCAATTGCTCCCTCGATACAAGAAGAGATTAGGTGCCATTATGGTGGCAATGTTCCACAAGGACATGAGATTGCTCTTCTCCAGAGTTGCCACTTTGCTGAGAAACTCCAGCAAGGCCTGCAGTCAACATAATTACAAAGTCAATGTTGTAGTGAGAGACACACACAAGAAAAAAGGAAGCTAATTCTGTATATATGTATTGTTATACAGAATGGAACTAAATACAACAATCAGTAATTAACTAGAGCATAATGCATACAAAATGGGAAAATATCTGCTGATTTAAACTAACTACAGACAGTTAGGTCAACAGTAAAAATGTAATGCTTCTGGAGAACCATTAAAGTAGACCGTTAAATAATTCTGACAAACACAGGCAGGAGAAACAGAGTCATGGGGGGTTGTCAGGAGCACTGCATGGTACTGGCACATTACAGTAAGGAACTGAAGAACCATTACATTATTATGTAAGTTCCTTAATCACCAGCCAGCGAAAGTATTAGTCACTGGTGGACTTCTCTATTATTAATCCTTCCACAACAGCTTAAGAGAAAGAAAACAAGTACAGGCATGCTAGCAGTATAGGTGGGGAAAGTTATTCAGCATTTTTGGAAGTGGCCAGGTCAACTATTATAGAAACAATAGTTAATGGTCAAAAAATAGAGAAGGCAAATAGAGAGAAAAAAGTAAGGCAGAAAGAGAGGAAATGAAAAATTAGAATGGGGAGAGAGAGATGGAGAGAGGGTGGGGAGGGGAGAGAGGGTGGGGAGGGAAGGGGTTGGGAGAGGAGAGAGGGAGCAGAGAGAGAGAGGGAGGGGAAAGAGGGAGGGAGAGAGGAAGGGAAAGAGGGAGAGAGGAGGGGAAAGAGGGAGGGAGAGAGGAGAGGAAAGAGGGAGGGAGAGAGGAGGGGAAAGAGGAGGGGAAAGAGGGAGGGAGAGAGGAGGGTAAAGAGGGAGGGAAAGGAAGGGAAGAAGGAATGTAAAGAAAGTGTGGGGAGGACAAGAAAAGAAAGGTTGGAAAGAAGAAAGGAAAGGTAAGGTGAGGTGAGAGGAGGATGGAAAGGAGCGGACAGGAAAAGAAGGGTGGGAAAAGAAAGGTTGGAAAGAATAGAGGAGAGGAGAGAGGAAAGGGAAAGGAAGGGAAGAAGGAAAGTAAAAGGAAGGGTGGGTAGGAAAGGAAACGAAGGGTGGGAAAATAAAGGTTGTAAAGAATGGCGGAAAGGAAAGGAAATGGTTTGAGAAGGATAGAAGGGAACGAAAGAAGGAATGGTGTAATGATAATTGTAGTGATAAGTATATTAATTACATGGACACCAAAAACATTCCCTATTTTGAATTCATAAATATAAAAATGGTAAAGAACAATGAAACAAGGGAAGCCAACTCAACAGTAAAATACAGTAACCCTATTTCCCATCAACTTACTATAACACTGCACTAAAATCTGGAAAGGAATAGAAGCACAGGGTCTAGACCATGGAAAACTTACCTTTAAGGTGCAACGGTTTGCCTCTGGAAGGATCAGTATAAGCAGGTTGAGCGCTTGGAGCCTTTGTTTGAGGTTTGAAATTTCTATATGCCAAAAAAATTAAATAAATAATAGGTAGAACATTCAGTAACTTCAGGCAAATGGAGGACACAAACCATTGGTTTGATTGTGCCCTAGTCACTCATATTGAGTTCATAAAAAAATTACTTGTTGCTGGAGATTTGGAAATGTCAATAATCTATTCATACAGACTTGCATACAGTATATACTGGCCTGCTTTTAGCATGTTTTCTACCTACTAGTTGAGTAGGATGGTCAGCGCAGAGAACTTTTATTAATGATTAATGTACAGGTCCAATATTAGATTTTTTTTTCCTTAAACCACTGGTTCACTTTGCAATAAATACTGCAATAATGACCCCAATATGTGTTCTCTGAAAATACACTACACCTTCCCTTTAACAAAACCAGATGGACCTTCACTTGGGTTTCACTTTTGTCATTTTGGCATCTCCAAAATTTGTCAAGAAAAGTCCACATTGAATTCATGAAGAACTGAATATTTATTCCGACAAATGGTAATTTTTACTTGGTTCATATTCCACATAGTACTATAATAAAACAGATTGCTCACTCTGTACAGCAGTGAACGCCGGCAGATACTCTGCAGTGAGAAGGGGGGCAGGGAGCTCTCGGAGGAACAGCTTCAGGAGCCCTGCGACATCATGTGGATTAACTTCATCCCAAGAAAAGAGGCCGGCGTAGAAATTCCTCTCCAGGCGCTGCTGTAAGGACTGGAACAAAAGCAGCAGAATATTGTAAAAAGTGCAGCGATGATAACAAGCAGTACTTAAAATACAAAATGATCATAAGAGAGAATATAAGCATATTCTGATGCATAGAAATTATGGCAAAAGTTTTCTCCAACACAGTTATATATGGACGATTATTATCATCTTGATCAAAATTAAAAAAAGGTTCCTTAAGAATGTATTTCTTTGAGATATATATATATATATGTTTGTGTGTGTTAGAGACACCTCGGTTCACGAACGCAATTCGGTTCGCAAACAGGTAGTTTGGCAAAATTTTGCTTGCGTTCGCGAACTCCGCATCGGGTGACGAATACAACCGCAGCCATCTTCCCTGCTCTGACACTGGTCGTGGCTTCCTCTAGTCGAGATCGCTGTCTGATCACAGTTTGATTCGGTTCGCGACCAGAATCGTGGAACGAATTAAGTTCGTGAACCGAGGTACCACTGTATTGTGTTTCCACCTCCTACAAAAAGGCCGTTATGGAAAGTCCATCATGGGCGGGGTTACTATGGTCACTATGTTTGCCTGATGAAGAAACCGCTGTAGGTTCTGAAACATCCTAATTACATGTGATCCCATGTATATCGGACGTCAAATACGCTTTGATAGACTAGTGTGCGGTGACTAC